TGTCATATGCGACAGCGCTGCTTACTATCATATACCGACCCCGGAATCCATTTCCCAGACGAATCCTCCTGCTGTCCAAAAGCATAACATGGCTCCACACACATCGCGCAAAACGCGGGGTTTGGTTGCCTCAACTTCAACGGGCAAACATTTGGTACCGAAGAGTACTCCGATAGATCTCAACGCCAACAGCCGAGACATCTCGGCATCGCGGCACAGTGCCTCAAAGCCACACAGAGGAGACTTAGGACCGGAGAGCGGAGGCCGGATTGCTTGGGCCCGTCAGCCAAGATTCTTATCGTTCGGTCAATGAGCGTTCGAGTTAGTCCAGCCTCACTGCGTTCGCTGACTACTGGTCTTTGAAACCAAGCTGTGGGTACATGTTTGTCCGGAGCATCAGCTGATCACTATGTTTGTACCTGCTAATGCAATACTTGCTGTGACAAAGACTTGTGCAGCCATTCATGTGGCGTGGTGGACAAGAGGTTCCAAGCCTCTCCACGCTTGGATGACCCACGTCGTTCGTCTAGCGTGCTAACCCCGCCTAAACCTGGTAGGACAAGCTGCCTATAACTACTCCCCCGCAAGGGCGTATCTTTGCTCTCTACCACCAACACTATCCGTGTTATCACATATACTTGAATGGGTGAAACTGTGCTACTTGCCGTCGAGGAGACTTCTCCCAACGTCGATGAACCCCCTATATGTGGTAGTAAGGATCCGCATACTGCACCAAACCAAAGGCAACTCCAGCCGAACCCCATCGATGGCGACACTTCGCCCGCACTCCACGCTCCGCACACCCTCACCTCCGAGGAAGTTGCACAGACTCTGGGAGTCGACATCCAGTAGGGCTCACTGTTCATGCTCACCACTCTCGTGATCCTGCTAACTATCGCAGCCATGGACTCCCTCACTCTGAAGCGCAATCTCGCCTCCAGCTCTATGGCCCTAACAAGGTTAAGGGAGCTGAAGGGCTTTCCATGTGGAAAATTCTGTTAAGGCAGATCTCGAACAGTCTCACCTTCGTCCTCATCATTGTCATGGCCATTAGCTTTGGCATAGACGACTACATCGAAGGCGGCGTCATCACCGCAGTTATCCTCCTCAACATCGTTGTTGGTTTCTGGCAGGACTACCGAGCCGAGAAGACTATCGAATCTCTCAAGAAACTCACCGCACCCGAAGCCACTGTCACACGCCAGGGCACAATGGACATCAAAGTGAAGGCCGTGGACCTGGTTCCTGGCGACATCGTCCAGCTCTCTGTTGGTAGCATCGTACCCGCCGACATTCGCCTCATCGATGGTGTCAACGCTTACACCAATGAAGCATTCCTCACAGGAGAGTCCGCTCCTGTTGAGAAGACACCATGGAAAACTTTTGACGAGGAAGACCTTGCCACTGGCGACCAGACCAACCTTGCCTTCTCCGGAAGTGAGGTGACATCTGGACGTTGCCATGGTATTGTAGTCGCAACTGGCATGAACACCGAAGTCGGAAAGATTGCTACTATGCTCCGTCAGAAGAAGGATGCCGGCCCGCAATCTTCCAACATCTTCGTCCGAATCTGGAAGCGCTTCACGAACGGCGGCAAGACCATCCTAGGTCTTGTCGGAACCCCCCTTCAGATCACGCTGAGCAAGTTCGCACTTCTCCTCTTCGGTCTCGCCATTATCCTCGCCATCATCGTGTTTTCCGCAAGCAAATGGCAGGTTGGTGGAGAGGTACTCATCTATGGTATCTGTGTTGCCGTAGCTGTCATTCCTGAGTCGCTCATCGCAGTCCTGACGATTACGATCGCTGTCGGCGGTAAGGCAATGGCCAAAGCAAACGTCATTACCAGAGTCCAGTCGGCCATTGAGGCTGTCGGCGGTGTCACGAACATCTGCTCTGACAAGACTGGTACTCTCACCCAAGGTCGCATGGTCGCAAAGACCGCCCTCATGCGTGGCGCCGGTACATTCACCGTCGATGCCATCACAGACCCTCACAACCCCACCAGCGGAAACGTTGCTTTTGACGACCGACAGCTTAGTCTGAACGATTACAGGCCGGACGCTGTCGTCACTCGCTTCCTCCGTACCATTGCTCTTTGCAACAACTCCAAGGTCATACCGCCATCTGAATCCCGCGTCGACTCTCCCAGTGAGAAGAAGGCTGCGGCTCATGAGCAATACAACAGTGCGGATGATCGCGACACTGACGCGTCCACCATCGACACCATCTCACGACCACCCACTGCCTTTATGCAAGATGTAACGAACGGAGCCTGGACGGCGCATGGTGAGCCAACCGAAGTCGCATTGCACGTCCTCGCTTCTCGTTTCAACATGGGTAAGGAAAGTCTACTTTCCTCCCTTAACATCCATCTCGCTACCGAATTCTCCTTCGACTCCAAGGTCAAGAAGATGACTGTCGTCTACAAAGACAATCACTCTGGCCTCATGGACGTCTACACCAAGGGAGCAACCGAATTCATGATGTCGGCGCTCAACGTCTCGGATCAGGAAAGGGCCGAGATCTTGGAAGCTGCCGAGAGCATGGCCAACCAAGGTCTCCGTGTTCTGTGCATCGCTCACAAGACGCTACAACCCGACACCGACATCTCGGAACGTGATATCGTCGAGGCCAATCTCAACTATCTCGGTCTTGTCGCCATCTACGACCCACCTCGTCTGGAGACAGCAGGTGCCGTCCGCGAGTGTAAGATTGCTGGCATCACGGTGCACATGCTCACTGGTGACCATCCCGGTACTGCGCGAGCTATAGCCAAGGATGTGGACATCATCGACGATCGTACTCCTGCCTCAGCTGTCATGGTCGCCAAAGACTTTGACAGAATGTCCGACGATGAGGTCGACGCCATGGAGACTTTGCCCCTGGTCATCGCCAGATGCAGCCCGACCACCAAGGTCAAGATGGTGCAGGCTCTTCACAGGAGGGGTCGCTTCTGTGTCATGACCGGAGACGGTGTCAACGACTCACCCGCGCTCAAGCAAGCCAACGTTGGTATGGCTATGGGCACTGGAAGCGACGTCGCCAAAGATGCCGCCGAGATGGTTCTCACTGACGACAATTTCGCTTCCATTGTGAAGGCCGTCGAAGAAGGCCGACGCTTGTTTGATAACATCCAGAAGGTATGCTGCCTCGCTCTTTCCCCTTCAAGATCACTTACTAACATTTGATGCTACAGTTCCTCATGCATCTTCTCATCTCAAACATCGCGCAAGTCATCCTCCTTCTCATCGGTCTCGCCTTCAAGGATCAAGACAACCACTCCGTCTTCCCGCTCTCTCCCATCGAGATTCTCTGGGTGAACCTCATCACTTCCTCCTTCCTCGCTATCGGTCTCGGACTCGAAGAGTCACAGGAAGACAGCATGTACCGACCACCGCACGACAACAAGAAGGGTGTCTTCACAGCCGAGTTGATCACAGACAAGTTCATCTACGGTTTCTTCATGGGAGCACTATGTCTCTTCTCCTTCGCCATTGTCGCTTACGTCGGTCCTGGCGGAGGTAACCTCGGCTCTGGATGCAACGAAGGGTACAACGATACATGCGAGGTGGTGTTCCGTGCCCGCGCGACCACATACGCAACTATCACCCTTCTCCTCCTCGTCACAGCCTGGGAGGTCAAGCACTTCGCTCGCTCGCTCTTCAACATGTATCCCAACACTCCGTCCTCGGCCCCAGCCGGTCTCTCTGTCTTCACTACCATCTGGCGCAACCGCTTCCTCTTCTTCGCGGTCATCGCGGGATTGCTCGTCGTCTTCCCCATCGTCTACCTCCCCATCATCAACGAGAAGGTATTCAAGCACGGTGCCATCACCTGGGAGTGGGGCGTCGCATTCGGTTGCGTCGTCATCTACATTAGCGCGATTGAAATCTGGAAGGCTATCAAGCGTAGTCTCGGTATCTGGTCTGGAGCCCACAGGGTCATCTCTCGCGAGGATGCTGAGGCCCGTGCTGGACTGAATGGTGGTGTTGCTGTTAGGGAGAAGTAGGGACGTGATTTCTTTTTCTGATGAATGGTGGAGGGAACAAATTGTCACATGATTAGTATGGAAGTGGAAGTGGGGTCGTTGGTCTCATGTCTCCTGGATTGACCCATAGTCGCTCGTTAGTACGATTCATGATTGAATGACACATACACGCTGTCATAACTTTACGATGAATACCATCACAGTCACTCTTTCATTGTCACGGCTCTCAAGTGCAGATTTGATGTAATTTGCACCTAGCTCTGCCGACCCCATCGCCATATCGACATCCCAAACGCCCAACACTCGATACTTAAACAAGCTTCGTCCTTCATCGCCCGACATTTATGGCTGAAACGGACGGTCTTCGAAGTGAAATCCCTTCGTACAATCACAACAGCGCAATCATCTGCACCGCTTCATCTCCTAACCCTTACTCCTTCCGCTGGCTGGCCGCCTCTTCCAGCTTCTTAACTTCCTTCTCGCTCTGTTCATGAAGTTGACGATGTCTATCGAGCCGTTCTGTCAAGATATGGAGCAATTCTAAGGGGCGATTCTCCGATTTCCACAGCGTTCCATATTGAATCTCCGCGATATCGGATTGTTCTTTATGGGAATCGCGCTGTGTTTTGGCGGCCTCAAGTTTTTGGGCATCAAGGTTCGGATTTGTTGGCTTTGGCTGGGTGGGCGTACACTCTGCTTTTGGGGAGTCTGACGACATAGTGCTTTGTGAAGACGGCGATATGTACCGGTGGTTGATAGCGACTGTCGCCGAAGGGAATCAGTTGCAAGAGATATTGCTTGGATATATTGAGTCGTGTATGCAGTGTGCCTGTTAGCAAGCTGCCGTTTAAATAGTGAGATCGCGCATTGACCCCAAAGGGTTCACAGTCATTATAGAATGGCTGGTTGTCATGCGCGAGTCATCTTCGTGGTCATCATTGAAACATGGTAGAGCGCACATTCACACAAGATATATCCCTGTTATTGATAGTGTCGTGCTACGCTGAATTACTCACTGACTACCGACAGATCCAAACTCCATCCTCGGCATCGCCCACTCTCGATCCGCGCCAATAGACCTCTTGCTAGACACAGTGCTGTTTGTGAACGGTCCAAGACTAGGAGGCACGTCTTCCGACTTCGTTCCCCAGCTGCTTTCCTGCGGACCCAAGGTCAGCTCCAAGACACCGCCTTCCAAGAAGAAGCTGTGTTGGATCCAGTTCTTCGTGTACGGTGCACCGTTGAGCGTGGCAGATTGGATGTAAATGTTCTCATAAGCCGCATCAAAGTTGACATTCCGAATCGTCGCTGTGTTGCCAGTCTGGCCATTCTTGATGGAGATGGATTCGAAAAATGGAGGTATGATGAAGTATACATCCTGTCCAGCGTTAGGGAAGAAACCCATCATGACGAAGGCTTCAAAAGAGCCCATGGCGCCGCTATCGTCATTGCCCGGGATACCGACGACGGTATCGTTGAACAAAGATGGTATGTATTGGTGGGCGCGCTCAGCGGAGAGAGCGGGACGACCGGCATAGTGGTATAGGAACACGTTGAGGAAAGCCTGTTCGTCGCCGAGATATAGGACACCTGATTCGTGCAGCCAGTTCATGCGTTCGACGAAGCGCTCGCGGCCTCCGAGAGTCTAACTATTGTCGGCCAGATGATGTTGACAGAACTTAGCATTATCGCCGCCTCCTCCTCTCTATGTTCTAAGCTCTTAGTAAGACGCTTAACTCTCTAGTGCCTGTAAAAAAAACGTAGATTAACTCTATCTTATCTTTAAGCACGTAATATATACTAATATAATCTTCTATTAGTACTTAATAGTTACGCAGTATATTTACTAGAGACTTATTATCTATAATTAGTACTAAGTAGGCGCTACTAAGTTATAGGTACTTAAGAGTATCTATTAATAATAAGTAGTTAAGCTTTTTAGCACTAGAAAGTAGTTTCTAAAGCTTTCTAAAACTAATATTTATAGAATTAATATTTATTAGTATAAGTACGTAAGCTACGCTACTACTATTTAGTTTAATTAGGTTTTTAACGTTAAGCTAAATATTATCTTTAAGTATAATAATTAATAGCCTTATATATTAAAGCTAAAATTAGCTTTTAAACTCTAGGCTCTTTTACTCTTAACTCTAATACTATAATACCTTAAGTAGTATATTCTTAATGCTATTACTATTAGAGGCTAGCTAAAAGTTATATTTCTTAGTCTAGACTAGTTAATTAGTAATAAACTTATGCAATATAACGTAGCGCTAGTATTATAGTATATTAGCGTAGGCTCTAGAGCTAAAGAGAGAATTATAATACTATTAGTAGAAGTTCTCTATTATAAACTTTTGCGCTATATTAGTCTTATTAAGAATATCTTTTTATAGAATTTTAATAGTAGTTTACTTTTGCTAGTAGTAGTACTTACTATATATTAGGTTAAGGCCTTATACGTACTTCTTCTTACTATATTATAGTTTAGTATAGTGCTAGTAGAAGGCTAGGTCTAGTAGTAGATAGTCTATGCGTAGCTTCTAGTATAAAGAGTTTTACGTACTATTAGCTAGTAAAAACCTAACTATATTTATAGCGTTAAAGTACTAGTAAGAGTAGATAATAGTAGGTTAGTTAAGGTTCTTATAGAGAGATAAGAAGGTAGAGTAGTACTTATTCTAGGTGCACTAGTAGCGCGCGTGTAATTATTAGGTTACTTAAAGCCTATAATACTAAAGAATATTAGCTATAATACTAATAATTACTATAGCTTATAGAGTTTAGAAAATAGTAGAATATTAAGTATAGTAGGTTTACTGTAGAATAGAGGTGCGTAAATACTAGAAGTATATTATAGTAAAAGCGCAGCGTTAGTAAATATAGAACTAGACCTTAGTAACTAAACGCTTTAATATTAGATGCGTAATGTAAGTATATTTATATAGAGTAATAACTGTTTTTACTTAGCTAATCTTTACTTCTTACTCTTCTCTTACTTCTTAAACTTATCTACTATCTATAATACTAAGTATATATACTATTTCTATATACCTCTTATTAATTAAAATAGTATTTACTACTAGTAATAAATTTAGCTAGATAGTCTTAGAGTACTACGTAATAAGGTAATTCTTATTATATTCTATTTTGCGTTCTAATCTTATTAATAATAAGCGTAATAAGAACCTCTTTCTAGAATATAGAATTTTAAAAACTCTAAGTAAAAGCTCTATAACTATATATAACTATATAAAAAGCTTAAAGAAGATAACTATAGAGATATTTAAAAAGTATAGCCTAGAGCTAGAAAATAGAGAAGCTATACGTAATATAGTTACGTTATAGAAGTAAAAGCTATAAGCTATTAAGAACATTATAATAGGTTATCTAAATTCTTAGATATATAAGTAGAACTCTATAATAGCTATAATAAGTATATAAAGCGTAGCTAAAGTCTTAGATAATTTATATTAAATACTTAGTAACGTAGTTCTACCTAGTAATATATAAATATATCTTAGTTACGCTTATAAAGAATAAGAAGACGTAGAATCTTATACTATACTTAAAACTAAGAGAAGTATAAATAAAGGTTATATAAAGTAAGTAAGAGAGAATATAGCTACTTATATAGTATACTAATTAATACTCTTATATAAAATAGTATATATTCTAGTATATAAAGCTACCTTATTATAGACTAATAGCTAATATATTTATTCTTCTTTAAGCTAGTGCAAGTTCTACTAATTAGATTTAACTAAACTAGAATCTATATTACTACTTATAGTTACTAAGCTTCTAAAAGTAGAAAAATAAAGTTAGTTAAGTACGTACTAGTTACGTATAGGCTATTTCTTATATATAGAGACAGCTTTAAAATAATTTTACTACTAAATATATTACTAATTAGAACTCTAACTACTATATTTAGAATATCTAACGCAGATTACAAGAGTAAAGAGATAGTGCTCTAGACATAGAATAATAACAAACTTAAAGAACTACTATAAAAGGTATTTAAGTTTAGTTTAGTTCTGTATATTTAAGATACTATATTACTCTTACTAGTACTATATAAAAGAAAGTATAATAGTTAGAAGAAATTATTAAATATAAACTATAGTAATAATGTAGAGTTTTTAGCCTCTTACATAATTATAAACTTCTAGTACCTAACTTAGCGTCTCTAAAAAAGGTAAAAGAACTTCTTAGCTATCTTATCTATAGCTATATATAAGCTAACTAAATATAAACTAGCTGTATTTAACACTAAAGAGAAAAAGTAATATATAAACTTACGCTTAATTATTAAGCGTATATAAGAACTTAGTATAGAAGTATTATTTAATTCTAGATATAAACTACTTATTTCTTACACTATACTTTATCTAGATAAGTTTCTAATATAAGGCTAGCCTTAGTTTAGTATAGATAGAGATAACGTAGATAATATAGTTAATAGTATAGTAAGCTATAGAATAGCTTATAAATATACTACGCTCTACTAGAATAACTTAACCTTTTATAGGCTATATAAGACATAGGTTAAGTGTATTCTTAGATTAAGTATAGTAGATAAAGATTATCTTAGAGCTAATTACAAGGTCTTAACTCTAAAGATCTAACCTCTAACTAATATAAAGTACTAGAACTTACTATAGAAGCTATTTAGCTATATTAAAGCTAATACATAAGCTATAGATACTAAGAGGTAGCTAGTAGGTATTAAAAATAGAGTAACTATACTATTTAAGATTAGTCTTATTAACTATAAGAACTATAAGCGTAATGTTAATACTATCTTCTATACAGCCTTTAAGTATAAAGGTATAAGCTATCTAGATTAGATACGTGCTACTATTCTTTAGTATAGCATTAGCTCTTTTATATAATATACTACTATATCTATTAAGAAAGCGTATAACTCTATTACTTTATAGCTACTAGAATTTCTATTAGATATAAGATTATAACTCTTCTAAGAAACTAATTTCTATAAAGGTAGCACCTTAGTTCTATAGTAGAGAAATACACTCTTAGATAGTAAGGCTCTTAGTTATATTATATAAAAGCGTAATTATATTAAAGTAAAGAAATATAATATTATTCTTAGATATAAGGTTATTAATCTTTACTAGTTATTTAAAGCCTACACTAATGTAAATAAAGCTAATATAGATATAAAGCTATTAATAATCTAGTATTAGTTATTTAATAAGAATAGTATAAAGCAGAAATAGCATAAAGCGTTATAGAATACTACTACTATAATATAGATTGCAATCTATTTAGTAGAATATACTAGAGTATAGCTAGTACTATATATATAAAGGTATATATATATTAGCATTTATATAAGTTTATATATATAGAGAGAAGATTCTAGTCTTAATAACACGCTTAATAAGCCTTCTATTCTTTTATAGATATAAATACTCTTTAGTATAGAGTTTACTTATAAACTTATCTAGCTAATATTTTAGATATTATAATAGGTTCTTACAAGCTTCTATCTTAATAGTAGTAGAGGTTATATAGAGTTTAGGTAGTAGAAATTCTTAAGATAATAGTAAAGTATTAAGCGTATATTAGCTAGTTGCTAGTAAGGTAGTAATAGAACTTACTATTAAGACTCTATCTTATTAAAGGCTTAGATTCTAGACTAACTCTATAGAGTAGCTATTAGATTTTATATACCTTAGCTATACTATTTTAAGATTTATTATAGTAGAATAAGTTATCTTTTATTATAATAAATATATAAAGTTACTTCTAGCCTTTACTCTACCTAAAGTCTAGTCTTAGTATAAGTATATTAAGAATAGAAAGAAGTTCTACTTCTCTACTTTTAATATAGAGGCTAAGCACGTATTTAATTCTCTAGCTATTTTTGCACTTATAGATATATATTACGTTCTTAGAAAAGAATACTTACTTTTTCTAGTCTTTCTTTGTAATGTTAGGTATACTTTAATATATAATTAGAAATATTACTTATATCTACGCTTATTTAGCTATATTAGTCTTTCTTATACGCTAGTAAAGGCTTCTTAATATATAGTTAGCCTTAGAGAGTCTATAGGTATCTAGAAATACAAGAGTAGCTAATACGTATACTAATATTAGTCTATATAAAATATACTTTTAGAACTTTATAACTCTATAGTCTTATACGCGCTTTTGCTTTAGCGTTAAGAAGAATATCTATTCTAGTAATTTATACTCTAATACTAGGTTTAAGTCTTAGATTAGCGTATTAAGATCTAACTAAATTACACTATTACTACCTTCTAGAACTTAAAGTTTATATATATCTCTATTATATACGTATTAAGTTCTCTATAATAATAATTCTAATAGAGTAGAGTTATAACTTATATTACCTTTAATAGCTTACGTTTAAAGTAAACCTACGTCTCTTCTATTAATATTACTTCTTATTTAGTTAGTCTAATAAGAACCTAGACACTCTTATATATATATATTATCTTTACTCTAACTCTTATTTAACTTCTTAAATTTATAGAAAGTAGGCTATCTTTATTATTATTCTTACTAATATAATAAGATTATTCTACCTTAGTTATCTTCTCTTCTTTTTGCCTT